TACATCATGTGCCACATCCCAGTGTTCTGCTGGATCTCAGCCGCTGTTCTAGAGAAGATGTTGAGTCTAGCAGAGAGTGGAGAGATTCCCAAGACTCTCACTCAAATGTACACACACTTCCTGATCCTTCAGACCAACATCAAACATGAGAAGGACTATGAGAAGAAGGTGACAGATGAAGACATGATCCTCAAACTGGGGAAAGTGGCTTTTCAGCAGCTTGTGAAAGGTAACCTGATCTTCTATGAGGAAGACCTGAGAGAGTGTGGCATTGATGTGACAGAAGCATCAGTGTACTCAGGATTGTGCACTCAGATCTTCAGAGAGGAGTTTGGCTTGTATCAGGGGAAAGTCTTCTGCTTTGTTCATCTGAGCATTCAGGAGCATCTAGCAGCTCTATATGTGCACCTCTCCTGTACAAACCACAACAGAAATGTGTTTGAGCCAGACACCAAACAGAGTTTGTGGTCTAAAGTGAAGGACCGGTTTCAGCTTATTTTATTATCTGAGCTGCATCAGAGAGCTGTGGATGAGGCTCTACAGAGTAAAAATGGACATCTGGATCTTTTCCTGCGGTTCCTTCTGGGTTTGTCAGTGGAGTCTCATCAGATTCTCCTACAAGCACTAATGAAACAGACAAGAAGCAGATCTGAAAGCACTGAGGAAACAGCTGAGTACATCAAGAAGAAGATCAGGACCATTGACTCTCCAGATAAATCCATCAATCTGTTCCACTGTCTGAATGAACTGGGTGATCGTTCACTAGTGGAGGAAATACAACAGTATCTGAAATCTGGAAGAATAAAGGAAGCCAAACTCTCTTCATCTCAGTGGTCAGCTGTAGCTTTTGTGTTGCTGACATCAGAGGAAAAGCTGGACAAATTTGATATTAATACATTTGTTGGAGAAAACAATAAAGCTGAAAAACTGAATGTTCTTCAGTATCTGCTGCCTGTGATTAAAGTTCAGTAAGTATCACTGAGAACAATCACTTCACTGTTAAAGAAAAGAAAAGCAAAATCTCATAATAATATGAAAACATACTTGAAACACATACTTTAATGACAACATTATAAATCTTCCCTGATTATTATTATTTTAAATTTCTGAAATTAATTCATTTCTAGTATTTAGCAGTTGTTTAGAGACAAGCTAGACTCTAAAGCACCTGCCAGTCAATGTCTTAAAGTGGATTAGTTTGAAACCAACAATTGTAATGTTATAAATGAGTTAGTACATAAATGATGTGGATTTGATCCATGGTAAAGATCTTTTTTGCAAATTTGATTATTACCTTTTTTATTATTAATAAAATGAATGTTTGCTCTGTCTATCGTGAGTCCATATCATGTCCCACTTGTCTTTTTTCACCTTGTTTATTTAAGTTTTAGTTTCATAAGTGTTTTGATCTCTCTACAGTTTGAGAGATTGTGGCGTCACAGATGAAGATTGTGTTGTTCTGACTTCAGTTCTGAGATCAAACCCCTCACAGCTGAGACAACTGAATCTGTTTAATAAAGCAATCAGAGATTCAGGAGTGAAGCTTCTCTCTGTTGTACTGGAGGATCCTCGATGTAAACTGGAGAAACTGAGGTAAGATCATCTCTCTCATAGTCACACGTTATTGTCTTCTGTTAGACCTAAACCCTTTATGTATATTTTAGAAAATCAGCTTTTAAAATGTTAAGTGGACTTACTATATCTCAGCATAAAAAAATATTCTGATAACTGAAGATGAAGTATGAATAAGGCATGTGACAATATTACATCATACAATTTAATTTAATGATAAAACCCGATAAAAACCAAACAGATAATGAGGGCTTTAAAACTGCAGTGAGCTAAATGATCGAGCATTCACTGTTTGTAGGGGTCTTATTTGACACAATAATGACTTTAAACGATCTTTTGAGGTAATTTCTCAGCCAACATTTGATGTGTGATTAATTTGCGATTAATTAATTGGCACATTACGTAATTAATTACATTTACACAATTATTACCTAATTATAATATAAAATCTGACCTGTTTCTCCTGCTTTTGACCCAGCAGCTGTTTACTGGAGGTTTAGTTGCTTCTGGCACTTCATTTTATAGGATTTTAGGATTAATACTCCTTTCCTGGCTGCTCTTTTTACTTATTTTTGTACTTGTTCTGAAATCAAAATCAGCACGTTTTTATCATTATTATTATTATTATTGCTACTACTATTATTAAAGGCGATTTTGTTTCATCCTCTACCACATTATCAGTTTATCATACAGTGATTAACAAACATGACTAATGAAGATCATCTTTCCTCTGTGCCTCTGTTATTATTAAACTTCTAATATAAATAGAGATTTCTGAAGTAGAGGTGTTGAAAGTTTTTTGAATTTCTTTATTGTTTTCACAACTGTGATAAAATTCTAATGGAAATGTAGACATATTTACTAGTCTGTTTAGGATTGTGATTTGTACCTGTTGATCTGATCTGATCTGATCTGATCTGAGAGAGTGAAGAGTGTGTTATTGTTCTCTACAGGTTGAGTGATTGTGGCGTCACAGATGAAGGTTGTGCTGCTCTGGCTTCAGCTCTGAGATCAAACCCCTTACACCTGAGAGATCTGAGTCTGTCTCTGAATAAACTAGGAGACTCTGGAGTCACACTGCTGTCTGCTGTACTGGAGGATCCTCACTGTAAACTGGAGAAACTGTGGTAAGATCATCTCTCTGATAGTCATGTGTCTTTATCCTCGGTAAGTTGTATAGTTTGATGTAAACTTGTTTAAAATCAGCTTGTAAAATAAAATATGATAAATACACAATGACTGGTATCTATAAATATGATCTGGTACCAGTGTTCATTATTATAGTTTTTTTTAAATATATCCTTTAATATAACAATATTTAAATTCATTTATATATTCAATAATTTTAGTTTGTTTCACTCTGACTACAATGGCATCTAATGATGATAAATATATAAAGCATAATAATGTCATGTCCAGCTGGTAGTCCTCATCCCTCTTGGCTGATGTTTTAGTCATGATAGCATATAAAGTACTCAGCATAAATAAATAAACTCCCTCTGAACAAATGCTAAAGATTTGATTTCATAATGATCAGTAATACAGTTCATCCAAAGATGGCAAAACTAAAATGCATTAAACATATTCATATAACTAGTCCCCGATCATGTGATTTTAACAATAACAACAAGGTCTCCTTGCAGAAGACAACAGGCAGAAGACCTTCATACTGTTCTCACTTAGTGTGCTATATCTTTTCTAACTGATCAGATTTATGGTTCTTGTGTAAATTGCTATCAAAAATCTGATAGATTTAGCTGTTATACTAATGCTGTCCTATTGAGGGGGCCACAGTATAAGAAATCGTCTCGGTTACGTATGTAACCCTCGTTCCCTGAAGGAGGGAACGGGGACGTCACGTCGGAGGACAGACGAAATTGGGATCTCGCTTAGAGGGACCAATCTACTTCGAGTGTAAACTAAACGAGCCAATGCACATTGGCATGCGATTATTGCATCCAGCTGCTGCTGATCACAGTGTGAGTATAAGTAGGCAGCAGGGGCAGTGCATATTCAGGTTTTCGCTGAGGAGCCGAGCCGGTGACCCGGCCGCTCAGCGGTGGTACAGGAGCTGTGGCAACGGGACGTGACGTCTCCGTTCCCTCCTTCAGGGAACGAGGGTTA